ACCAGATTTACTGGCCTAAAGGAGACTGGAGAAACCCTGAGAGTATGGCCCCCAGACACCCTTTTAGCTCAGTGGTGAAGTCATTTCTCAGGTTCACCTTTCAGCTGGGAAGTGGACAGCCCCATAAAACCAAATGAGACTAATGAGGCACAGCAGTCCAGGGACGAGCGCCAGATGGCAGAAGGGGACCGGAAAGCTGGTGATAGGGAACCCAAGGTTGAGTAAGGATAGTGTTAATATGCTGTGAGGTCGTTAACCCTTGTTATAGGGCAACATGTGTACTAACTTTTAAATGAGGAACTATTTCGTTCTGCAAGCCTTCATCTAAAGTGAGAATAGCAGCACAATTGGAAGAGCATAGTTGATGTCACTGAATTGTGCAGTAGAAATTTTTGAAATGGTGTATCTTTGGCTATGTATATTTTCACCAAATAAATAAATAAAGGTCGAGAAGGGAGAGAGTTGACACGTTGTGGGGTGGTTAACCAATGTCTTAAAACAATGTGTGTACTACTGTTTCGTGAGAAACTATTTGTTCTGTAAACCTTGACCTAATGTACATTATATATATATACATAATGGGGAGTATGGAGTTATTCTGGTGACCATAAGAAAAGAGCTGGGTGTTATCAGCACCCTGCTCATCTTGCCATGGCATCCTACCTTGCCACCTCAGTAAGTCCCCTAGGTCAAACAATAACCTCTAGCTGCACTTGTGGTCAACACATAACCCAAGATCAGAGAAAGAGTTTCCTCATATAAAACTTTGGGGACCTGTCTTTCATAATATTGATTTTCCTGGTTAGCAATCCAAAGGTAGAGAAGATAAATTAAGTAATCATTGTTTCTTAGATGCCCTTCTGCACAGGAGAATGAATTGCTTTATCGGAATGGTGAGAAAGAGTAATTATACTATATACAAAACACCGCTGTGTTTTTTAATGTACATTAACCATGGGGTTAATGCAAACACTGCTTCAGATGGTTGAGGAGACGTGTGGAAGCAACTCATCAACTTCAAAGGGAATTAGAGTGACACAAACGTACCTAAAATTTTTCTAAGCTGTGCAAGAGAACCCACTCACATAGGAGCACTGACTAAGAAGTTTAACAAGTTTGGGTACCTTCTTATATTCATGGGGTATATTGCCTGTTTATGTAGTGCAATTGAAAACATTCACTGAAATTCAGATTCATCTGGCATATTCTCAAATATCAGCTTGCAAAATTCCAAATGTTTTGACTTTTGAATTTTATGCCTATGTTCACGAATGTAAAAAGTAACTCTTTAAGATCACCCTTTAATGCTTATCTTATTAGACTTTATCATAATGTTTAATGATAAAGTCAAATGTTAAAATCTGTTTCTCTCATAGTTCTGGCTCAGATTTGGGGCAAAATTGTCACAGTTGATTTTAGCCCGGAGTCTATTAATGGATAACTTTTTCATTATCAATATTTTTCTCTATGCTACACTGATGTGTTTCTCCCTTTTATTCTTCTAGTTGTACATAAAAATGAGGAGAGAAAATGAAACCTCCATGATGGTTTTTACCCTCCTTGGAGTTATTCCAGGAACGAGGCACACTGGCTTAGTCATCTGCACCATTCTGTTTTTCTACGTTGTCGCCATTACAGGAAATACCACCCTGGTCCTCGTCCTCTCTCTGGATCCCCAGCTTCACAGCCCCATGTATTTCCTGCTCAGCCGGCTCTCCCTCATGGATATCTCCTTCATCTCCACCACTGTCCCCAAGATGCTAACCAACTTTTTCTCAGGGACATCAGATATTTCATACATTGCCTGTGGAACTCAGATCTATTTCTACTTTGCTTTGGGAGGCAGTGAATGTATTTTGCTAACCCTTATGGCCAATGACCGATATGTGGCTATTTGTAAACCTTTGAGATACATGGTCATTATGAATCTTAAAGTTTGCCTGCAGATGGCCATTGTGTCCTGGGTTGGGGGAGCAATTAATTCTGTAGTTCATACTACCTATACCATGCATTTTCCCAGATGTGGCTTCTTCTGTGAACTCCCAGCAGTGCTCGAGCTATCATGTGAGGACGCTTCAGCTTATGAGAAAGTAATTTTAGTAATGGGAATTTTATTTCTTCTCATACCCTTTGGCCTCATCCTCACCTCCTATACTCTCATCTTTCTTAGTGTTCTCCACATAAGTTCTTCCAAGGGGAGAAATAAAGCTTTCACCACATGCTCTGCCCATCTGATTGTTGTGTTTCTCTATTTTGGTCCATCCATGTTCATCTACATGATTCCCAGCTCTTTGCACACCTCAGAGCAGGACCAAGGCCTCTCTGTATTCTATACCATTCTGACCCCCATGTTGAACCACCTCATATACAGCCTAAGGAATAAGGCAGTAGGAGAGGCTTTGAGGAAATTATGTGCAAAGGCCTTATCATTATGTAGAATAGTGATACTAGAATTCAGTACATGTTTATGAGTAAGGATACATTCTTAGGTTATCAATTTTCAAGAGTGGCAATGTTTATATATTGAATTTATCTCAATAATCATAAATATCTGTTTGAATTGGGATGTGGTCCATATTTAGCAAATATATCCAATTATTAGAAGTTGTGTTCTCTTAGTGGAAAAAATCTTACTGGCTTCATTATTTTAAAAGTGAGTTAGGCAGCTGTGATCGAAGTCATAATTAGCCTTGATTGCTTTAGTATTAAGTTGATGTAGAGACATCTCAATTAGGCAAAAATGTAATATTCTTCTTTAGTCCTTTCTCCTGTGTTATATATTTGCTAATTCTAAAACAAACAAAAAAGTTACTTCCAGTAGATTTCAAAGGTATTCCATTATTATGAGAACCCAGTTAGTGTATAGACAGTAGCTCTGGAAAATGACGGCATTAACTTTAAAATATACATTGGTTCTAGTCTCACTTAAAATGTGATTTTTTAAAAAAAATTCCAGGATAATACTGTGAAACAGAGCCTAAAGACAGGTTTTTTGTAGATATTTCACCTTATTAACGATGAAATATGTCTAAATTGTTCCACATAATGGATTCGATTTACTATGAAACCCACTTTTTTATGTGTTACACATGCACACTCACATTTTTATAACTGTTTTCATTTTTAAATACTAAATTCTCTGGGATCAAGACAACCATTTTCTCTGTACTGTTTAGTTCATTGTTGTAGACACAATAAATATCTCATGTTGACAACTAAAATTAAATTATTCAAAGTGACACTCCAAAAAAATATTTCATCCAGACTTTTGTCTGTGAATAAGTTTGTAGTCTTTAGTTTGAGATTTATTTTTACATAATTGTAATCACATGTGATAAAAATTATACATACTGCATTTTCACTTATGAGTTTGTAGCACTGCCGTATTAATACAGTCTCTAATTTGATTTTCATGCCTACATAACATTCCAGTAATACAGAAACAATTTTAAAACACACTTAAAATTAAGACAATAAAATTAAAACAACTATTTTCCGTAAGTCACTCTCATTATTATACTGAACATCCCATCCCTTGTACAATGTTGACATATGAAGTTTGGCCCTGAAGATTTCCTTTGTGCCCTAAAACATCCTTTTTTTCCCTTCCATCCTAGGAATTAGAGATAAAAAATGTGTTATGAATTGCACAAAATGTCCCACAATATCATTTCACTGTTAGAGAAATTTATCATTATAAAAGCAAGGCTCCGTACAATTGGATAGGCCTTCAACTTTCCTGAGTAGACTAGCTACAATTTAAGTCTTATTTCAATCAGCTTATAAAATAATGAATAGTTTAAAAGTATGAGAATTCCTGGTCACTTAGCGGCATACGTGAACTCACCAAGTAAACTCTTTCAAAACCCATATAAATGATCATAAAAAATGTTAATAGGAAAGGTCTGCAATAACACTCAAAATAAGTTCATAATTAATCACATGTGAGAATCCATTAGAAGGGTCTTCCCACCACACTGGAATCCTTCCACTGACTCAAGACTCCCTTCTGATCTAAAGCTGTGCTACCAGGAAACTTCTTTTATTTTTCTGTGTAGGATGGAAAACCTTGTCCTGGAAAGCAGAACAGTACGATCCAGAGGGGAAAGTATCAGGGGTGGGCAGGCAAGGCAGCACAAAGACAGATACTTTAGAAAAAACAAACAAGCAAAAAACGTGGCACTGGCCTGGAAGAAGGGAGTCTGGAAGAGATAGACAATTTACCTCTAGAGGTAAGAACGCCGTCCAGAGAGACGGGTGCAGAATCAAGTCAGGAATTCTGGAAAAACTTCCTCATGAAACTTCCTATGGCCTCAGTTAAAATGCCTACAAAATTCCAAATAAGTTGAGCATAAAACTAATTGCCATCGAGTAGATTCTGGCTCATGATGACCCCGTGTGTGTCAGAGTAGAATAGTGCTCTGTAGTGTTTCAATGACTGATTTTTCAGAAGGGGATTGCCAAGTCTTTCTTCCAAGTTACCTCTGTGTAAACTCAAACCTAGAACCTCCAACCTTTTGGTTAGCCACCAAACACATTAACTGTTTGCAGTACCCAGGGACTCCAAGTTGAGAATAAGCTTCTCAAATCACCTTGTAAGTGTATGTGTGCACAGGCACCCACAGGCACTCACACACATACAACACACACACTCTTCCAGCCACCTCAATTCTAGCCAGTCATGCTGCTTCTTACATCATATCTCATTGTAAATTGACGTTTCCTAAGTTCTGAACTTGAATTAATTCTCTCGATCACCTAGATGACTGCATTGTGTGTGTGTGTGTGTGTGTGCGCGCGCGCGTGCGCGCGCGCGTGCGCCACACCTAGGCGGAAAAATGACATTGTTCGAAGAGCCACTGGGGGCCAGGAGCTGTGTAGGCACTGTATACATAAACATTTCTGTAAATTTCAAATCTGAAGAAAAGATGCTGTCAACAACTTACTGACTATGTAGAACAGAGCTAAGTTTGTGCATTTGCCTGCTAAACCTCAAGAGATGTTTTAGGTGAATTAACTAAAAAGAATTAAGTATTTGGTACTGGTATTATCAAGTAAATCAGCTACTGTTAAAATCTCAGTAGACAATTCTGACAATGTGATAAAGCTAACGTTCTTACACATTTACTGTGGTGCTAGAAACTGGTGCAAAACATTTTTAGAAAGGATTTTGGTAATGTTATCAAAATCCGTAAACAATGTTTGATTTGATAATTCCACATCTGTCATTTCAATAAAAACCTATATAAATTCTTATGTTATGGCAGCATTATTTATGATGGGGAAAAGTTGGAAATTAGCTAAATTCCACAAAGAGTAGCTGCATGAATTATAGTGTGTCACCTCAGAAATTAATTATAAAGAGAAATGAGAAGGAAATTGTATCACTTAGTAAATATTTACTGCTCAAAGTGTTCCTCTAAATTGTCTCATTTAAGAGTTTCTCTCTCTTTCTCACACACACACACACATACAAAAAACCGGTTTCCATTGGGTTGATTTTGACTCACAGTTACCCCATGAGTGTCTCCCTAGGACTGCTCCATAAGGTTTTCAGTGGCTGATGTTTTGACAGTTGATCACCAGGCTTTTTCTCCAAGGTGCCTCTGTGTGGGCTCCAACCTCCAATCTTAACCATTTGTACCACCTAGACACTTTTTAAGAGTCACAGTAACTCTATAATACATGTATTTTTTTTTTTCTATTAACAAATGTATACATCCATGCAACTCTGTCTCAAGAAGATGGAGGACATTTCCATGACCCCTTTAATTCCCTCATGCCACTGTACAGGCAGTTTCCTTCCTCCAGGCAGTCACTGCTCTGATTTCTATCACCGTTGCTTAGTTTTGACTGTTCTAGAAATTCATATCAATCATACAGTAGTTTCTCTTTGGTTTCTAGCTTACTTCATTCAATATATATATTTTTAAATTAACTTATGTTGTTGCACTTCTCACTTTATTACCAAGTAATGTTCCATTGGATTAACTGGATGGCACAAAGGGTTAAATGCTTGACTACTAGCTGGAAGGTTGGTGGTTCAAACCTACTCAGAGGCACCTTGGAAGACAGGCCTGGTGATCTACTCCCCAAAGATCGTAGCCTTGAAAACCATATGGAGCAGTTCTACGCTGCACACATGGGGTCATCATTATTAGAATTCACCCAATGGCAACTAACAACAAATGTTCCATTGCATGAATATACAAAAATACTAATTTTCTTATTGATGGATATTTCTATTCTTGTTTTTGTCTATTATGAATGAAGCAGCCATAAGCATTCTTATATAAGTAGGTCTTTATGGGGACATAAGCATTCGTCTGCTAATCAGAAGGTCAGTAGTTCAAATCCACCAGCTGTTCCTTGGAAATTCTATGCAGCAATTCTACTCTGTCCTATAGGGATGCTATGAGTAGGAATCCACTCTACAGCAACAGGTTTAGTTTTTTTTTGAAGAACTGCCGGAGGTAGGAAAACTGCATGTTTAACTTTATAGGAAACTGCTAGGTCATAAGAATGTTGTATGATTAATTTTAGAAAAGACCGTCAAACTGTTTTAAAAAATATTTGTACCATTTTACATTCCCAACAGCATTATATGAGCATTCCAGGAGTTCCAAGTCTTTGTCAACAGTTTATACTGTCAATATTTTTTGTTTTAGCAGTTCCAGTGCATGTGAAGCTGTATCCCAAAGTTGTTTTAATGAGCATTTTCCTGATAACTAATGATGGAGCATCTTTTCATGTGCTTTTTGGCCATTCATGTAGCTATTGTAGTGAAGTGACTGTTAAAGTCTTTTATCATTTTTATTGGGTTGTTGTCTTTTTATTACTGAGCTAAATATTTTGGATTCCAGTCCTTTGTAATATATATATGCTGCAAATATTTTCTTACCTTTTCATTTTCTTAACATTGTCTTTGAAAACAAAAATTTTTATTTTTATTTAAATGTTTGCATTTTTTAAACCTTGTCTAAAAATGGAGCCCTGGTAGTGTAGTGGTTAAGAATTTGGCTGCTAACCAAAAGGTTGGCATTTCAAATCCACCAGC